GTAAACTCTACCATGCATTGATCTGGTTGAGTCCATGATGGTCTACAGTGGTGAAAGGGTTAATATGAATATATCAGCTTAAATTATTTGCAAAGACAGCCACACCCATAGGCCTTTTTATGTAGCATCTTTTATTCAAATGTCTACTGCCGTAGTAGTTTTGGCTCCACTTCAACCATGAAAACTGACAGCAAACACGCTGTGAAGTTTCATGTTACGCTATTCCTTACCTTGACATCGGTGGGGTTATCTGCCCTTTGCCGTGACTCGGTGACAGCCGGTTGTGTGGGAGGTAACGGATCCGGAGGCGTGTATATTACGCGAGGAGCTAGAGGAGAGGGTGTCTCTCTAGGAGTTTGAGCTGTCTTGGGGGTCTGGCTGACTGGTTTTGTGATTTCCTGTGAAGCTCCAGGTGCGACAGGTGTGATGATTTCATTGTCGGGTACAGCACTCCTGTTAGTATAATGTCACTTATTACACTTAGAGGAGATTTGTTGTAAGAAGTGAGGCAACTGTTCTTGCATGTGGCATATAAAAAATGATTTTAAATATAATTTATCTGAGTATTCACAGGGTAGTGATTTTTCAACAGCCTGTTCCTACATGAATTGGGAAAATATAGCATTTTGATTGAAATTAGGAAATTATTCATGATTTTTTTCTCTTCATTTTGGGAAAATAGGGCACTTTTCAGCCAGGGGAAGCGAACTGTATTCAATTGTAAAACTGAACAAAATAAAGAGACGTTCGTGTCTCTAAAACTGACATTGAACACATATATGAGACAATGTGAACTATTGTACGGCAATTCATATAGTCCCCCACCACAGATAATTCTATATTTACGAGGCTGTACACCTATCTCAGGATCAACCTACTGTAAAGAAAGTACCTTATCCTGATACAGAATAGGGTAATTTTTTCAATGAATGAGGTCAGATGTTATATCAAAGATCACAGTGACATAAGTTTGGTGCAGTAAATTCTGTTATGTCAGGATATACCTGCATACCAAAACTGGTTTCTCCAGGAGAACAGTACAGAGATAATTGGAAAATGTATTTCAACGACTAAGGTCAGAGGTCAAAGAATATATCACAGGAACCTACTTTTTGTAAAGTGCATCCCACCATTATAAGAAATACCTGAATACTAAATTTGGTTAATCCAGTTGAAATAATAGATATGGTCTGGACAATGTATTTTAAAAGGTAAGGTCAAAGCATTAAGGTCACAATGACTTACTTCTCATACTCAGAGTTCCACCAACCCAATATGTACTTGCATTCCAAATCTGGTAACTCCAATTGAGATGGAATAGGAGATATACCCCGGACAAACTCTTTGGATGGACAGAAGGCAGGACTGACCAAGTGCAAACCTAAATAGACCTCCCCATCCCCCGGGAATCAGTGAGGGCCTCAAACGAAATGATGGACCAAATGTCTCTAAAGTATTTCAGGTTTTACAAAGATATTGCTAATGAGCTATGTTTAGCTCTGCCTGTTTAAATGTGTCAAATATGGTTACATATTCCCAGTTTTGTTATCAAAGCTCCAGAGTAGACACAAGAACACGAGACATTGTGACGTACTCCTGTATGGCGGCCACATCCTTCCACTGTTTGATGAGGCTGAACAGGTGGTCGGGAGGATCCTCATTAAACTGCTCCTTGTACAGTTCCAGCAGGCGTTTTTTCCACATACCGTTTGATTTGTTACACAGCAACTACAACAGAGAGTTCAGTTATTATAGTTACCATGGTTACCAACCCAATAAACTTACAGCAAGTGATATATTTTGGAGGTTAAGTCTGAACCAGGTGAAATAGTAAAGAAAATTACACTGGCAAACTTTTTTGAAAGCTGAGGTCAAAGGTCAAACCATATGTCACAGTGACCTACTTTTTTAACTGGACACTCTACCATCCCAAGATGTACTTGCAAACCAAATCTGCTAACTCAAGTGTGTGGATTACATCGGTGATGTTTCATAAAATGCAGCTGAAAGCTGTAGGAGTTGTAGTCAGTGTACTTCAATGTATTCAAACTATGTTTGCCCTATCTAGGTATTTAAACTTTGTTTACAGGAGGTATAATAATCAAATCACAAATCACTTCACTTTCACTGTGCCAG